GGTACATTTTAAAGTGATGAAGACAGTGATGAAAGTTTTTTTTTTTTTGCTTTTTTGCCTATGGTCGGAACCCTGATTTTCTTGTTCCAGACCACAATGCTTTATCAGAACAAAATATTTTGATTTTGGCCTAGGCTAAACTAAGCATTTATTTGACAAAACTTCAAAAAATAAAAAATAAAAAATTTAATCTCATCTGCCCAAGAGATATAAATCTGTTTCACTTTTTGAGTTCCCAGGGACCCACAGTCACCAAGCCCACGCTGATCCAGGGTTTCCACCAAGATAATATACCTATAGAGTTATTTCATTCAGGTAGCCTACATTTAGCACCTTTCTTTGCAGCGCTATATATGCAGAGGTATATTTGAAAAAAAGTCCAAGACCTCTAGTTCACATTTAACTTTTATCTTCCTTTATTCATTAGATTTTTTTTTTTATCTTGATTTTATTCAATGAATTCCTTCAAGGTAAGCATGACAAAATATGAAAATAATGATTGGCAAACGTATCAAGTGAAAAAAAATGACAATGAATACCTTTAGAAAAGACTAAATGTCTGTCATAAGGGAGCAAGGCATGTATACTTGAATACGGGAAAAAAATTATATATATATATATATATATATACACACACATATAGATATAAAACCCTCCTGAGCATCTAATAAGTTGTGTAATAAAAACGAAACAAAAATCTTTAAATACTTTTGAAAACACAAAAGGCAAAAACTTTTGTAAATTCTGAATGAATGCTACATTATTTCATTCCTGTCAAGTCAGTTATAATGATCATAGTGTTTTGTTGACTGAAACAAGAAAATCCTGTTTTTTAAAATGCAATATTTAAAAAGATGACATTATTACAAAGTACTGTTCAAATAAATATAATGTGTGCTTTACTTCTCCACAGAATCCAAACATATGCAACATTCTCTTTCAAATCCAGCAATAACGTTCAACAATGGAAGACAATCCAAGTGCTTTGAAAGCCCATCAGAAACGGTTCCTATTAACATCTTTGCATCAGTATCAATATAGGCAAGTCATATTTCCAAAATAGTACAGTAATGCATAAAAATCTATTTCATCTTCTCCAATAGTACATCTGGTAGCCTACAGAATAGTATATAACTTAAATTACCTACATAAAAAAGAAGAAAAAAAACACAAAGGAAAGATTGCCCAATTTGCAGAAATCAGACATGTTGGCACATTACAAAGAAGTATACAGTATAGAAATTAATCCGTTTGTAATTTTAAAAAAAAGGAAGAAAAAAAAAGATCAAGATAGACAAGATTAAATGTATGTGAATTTACATGTGGTCCAACTGAATGTGTAATTTTTCAGCAAAAGTAACATTAAAGCTTTCTTGGCAGACACAAGTCACAAAATAGATCTCTCTAGTAATCAAAGCGTAATAGATAAAGTTCTGAAATGAAAGTAGCCCTTAAGAGTAGTGAACATCAAGCTAAAAGTGAAATATGGATAAACTACAAAAAATACAATGACAGAAAACCAATGTCTTAAAGCAAATTCTCATACTTGTTTTGCTTGTGTGAGCATTCTAGATTTTTTTGTTGTTGATGTTGTGGTGTTATATCTTTTGAAGAAGTGTCCAAATGTAGATTACAGTTTGGAGAGTGTCAAAACATTTAAAATAGAAAACGAAAAAAGTACGTTTAAAAAAAAAAAAATCAAATTTTTTTAGAAATATTAACTTATGTCAATACTGTTACACAATGCCTTTTAGCGTTTTAAAAACCACTTTATAGACATTTTATTTAATAGTGTAAAACATTAGCACAGTTAGGCTTAAAACATACTCTACACAAATATGCAAATGCAAACTCTTGCTACTCAAGTTTGATTTTACACGAAGTGTGTAACAAAATGTGTACTGCCTGCAATTCTTATCACTGCCACAAGGGGTGCTAGCAGGCACAGGAATAAACAGTTATTTATTGGCGCTTTTCCACTGCGTGGTACGACTCGGCTCAGTACGGTACGGCACGGCTCGGCTCGGCTCGGTTAAGTGAACCGTACCGTGCCGTACCATGCAGTGGAAAAGTGCCATATGATCTTCAATGGATTTTATATGGTGAACTACTTGCCACCTTCTTTGATGTTTATTTTCCTTCACCTATTTTGTAAATAGCCTACATCAATGCACACTCCTTAACCACAGATCTTACTGTACAGGGCGATACCAACCTTCACGGCCAAAAAAAAACTTAATGGTCAACTTGGATCATGGTGTACCTTGTAAACTAGAGATCGACCGATATATAGATTTACCGATATTTTAGCATTTACAATAATCGGATATCGCCGATAAACGCCGCCATCTTGTGGATGTTTTGAGAATTGCGCGCAGGATCACCATTGCAGCGCATCTGAGGACAAAAACATTATTAATAATTCTGATATAACATTCCAGTTGAGAAATGCAATAAAATACGATGTTTTGTTTGTTAAATTCCAATATTCCAGAGAACATTATTCAGTGAATTAACATTATCCAGTGAATTATTCTTGACTCTGGACCTATTAAACATCTTATAAACCTACTAAAACTGTAGTTTAAAATGAAGTTGATATGACTCCTTTCCTTTATTTATTTTCTCCAGTGTTGCTGCTGATGCTTTAAATAAAATGTTTTTTTTTTAATTGTTGTAATGTGAAGATTAAATTTAACATGAAAGAGTGCTAATTTTCAACACTTTTTTTAAGATGACTGAAAGGAGGAAACACCAAAGCGAAGTATAGACTTACTTCACTCAGTCATTTATTTACTTTATAACAGTAAATAAATATCGGTTCTGCATATCGGTTATCGGGCACATAAACATGCAAATAATTGGTATCGGTATCGGTTATAAAATATCAATATCGGTCGATCACTATCGTAAACCAATCAATTATTGCCTTGATATAACTAAATTGCTATTGGAGTTAAGTACAATAGTCAATTACTGTTTTCAGATGCCATATAAATAGCCAGATAACCAAATGAATGAGAAGAATCTGCCTTAAAAGTCCCCTGAAGTGCCTTGATACACACAGCATTATTCTATGTGGTGATGTAATTTCAACTGAAACAGGAAGCGAGGGCAGGACATAGAGCAGCCCCGCCCCCTTTTTAAAATGGCCAATATAGCGTTTTGTTTATATCTGCTCGGGCCAGAGCCATTGAGCTCAGTAAAAAGCCGCATTTGACAGCCACAGTCTAATAGATTACCCCCTAGATTCAATATGAAACTCTTACAAAACAAAACAAAAGTGGTCATAATCATGCTGAGGCAGTGTAGCTGTAAATGTTTTTAATATATGCCGACTCGCGCATATGATCCGCTCCGTGCGATCGCGTCTCTGGACCAGAGCCAAAGTCCGGATCAGACTGTGTGCGCTGCCATGGTTCGCGTAAAACAACGTGAAACCAGACTTCATTTGCACCAATCGAAAGCATATTTACACTGTTAGAATCGTTCCCTATCACCTACATTGTGCACTTCGAGCCATTCACTGTACAGGAAATACTACACTGTGAACAAGTGACCGATCCGCTTCAGCGTCTATTTATAGTGCAGGGGGCGGGCGCTTCGGATTCTAGAGAGCATTTGATTGGTCAGAAGATTTGATGAGAAGATGAAGTATGATGTGACGTCAAAAAATCGTTGAGCCGTTTTGGCGGAAGTGATGATATATTATATATCTTATAAATGCGAATTTTGTCACTGTTTTGGAGCACACTGCCTTATAGATAAACTTAAGACTAACATATTGATACGAACACCCAAAAAAACTTAAAATTTTGATTTCATGGGGACTTTAAGTCCAAAGTACACTTCGTTTTTGTTCGCATACGCCTTTCAAAGTATACTCCATTTGATAGCGCACGCGAAGTCCGCGAACGCAAGTGGTCGACACATGCGTTCTAGAAAGCTTCATCTTTGTCCAGCGTCTGCTCCATTTTTCTCCAGAAGTCATGATGGATAAAAATATTGTACTCTTAAATTTGTACTCTTTTAAACTCAAGTTGCTGCTATCTCATAACCATATCACACAGGGAGAGCTAAAAATACATTTTGGTTAATGGCAGAAACATTTGAAGGCAATTCTATCCCTGCCTTGAATACTGAGGTTTGTTTCCACCACAGTAAAACAAGAACAAAGTAAACAGGTTATGTACAACAAGACTTACAAATTGTTGAGCAAGCATTTGCATCTATGTACTTGTGTCAAGTAGTTTTCTAGCCTAAGGCTACAATTTTTACTCGTTTCCAGGTAAATTGTTAACAAAAGAGTTGTCTGATAGATGGATGTGTCAAGATAAATCGTTCAAAGACACTGGAAACATGTAACGCAAAATAAAAGGTGTTATGCTACAATTTTGTACGAAACACCTTCAGGTTCAACAAATGTCCTATGATAACCTTTAAACATGCAAACAAACTTCTTGAGGAGCAATTGTGATTGTGATGAGCACAAAGGGATTGTAAGGAGTACTGTCATCACTGGATTGAAGTACTAAAAAGCCGTATAAATAATTCTGTACATTTTTCTTCCCCCGAGCAACATATACATGGTTTCCTCTCTTTTTGAGTAGTAGAAGCCAGTTAAACAGTAACAGAGCTTGAAACAAAACATTGCAGCTTCAAATCCAGATCCCCATAAATGGGAAAGTTGCTGAGAGTCCAAACTTGTCCTACCACCATTTTGCCCCAAGCTAAGGCACTTAACCCCAGCTTGCTCTAGGTCAGGGGTGCCCATTCCTGTTCCTGGAGATCAACCTGCAGAGTTCAGATCCAACCCTGATCCAACACAACTGTCTGTAATTATCAAATGCTCCTGAAGATCTTAATTAGCTGGTTCAGTTGAGTTTGATCAGGGTTTAAGTTGAACTTTTTAAGATCTCCAGGAACAGGATTGGCCACCTCTGATCAAGGTGGACTCAATTAATGCAAGTTAGTTTGGATGAAAAGTCAAAAAAGTAAATACCTTATCTTGCAATATTAATCCAGATGTTAGAAAGCCTCTGTAGTGCCTCAACAAAGAAAATGTTTGTGACTGCAACAAATCATTACAATAAAACTACCATAACCGGAGGTCCCTTTAACAGCTGTAGTTAAAGTGCTCATTTCTTTTGGAGATTCTTCCTGATCTGCGTGTATTGTGTCCTACCGTTCCATCATTTGCAGCCCAGGACCGGAGTTCGTATTTGTCACGACTCGTTTTGTGCCTGTCCACTTTTTGACATTCTCTGTCAAACTGTCTTTGTAGCTTTAGTGCCACTTCTTGGCCCTCCTTATCCCGATTCATTCGCTGGACAATCATATCATCAAGCCTGTCATAGGCACCTGTCCGGGACATTTTTGTCTGTAGGGTGTCTTCCAAATGTTTGGTTTTGTGGCTTCTCTTCTTGCCCCTTCTTGAGGTAGGTCTGTTAAGTACACAGCTCCTGGTGGTAGGCTCATTTACGAAGTTCTCGGGGTCTTTCATACCCTGTTTACAGTGTCCAGCGTGTTTATCAAGCATCGCTTCACAAAATTCTGTGGGTTCACAGAGTTCTTCACATCTGCTACGCCTTTTTGCGGATAAAGTATCTGCAGTGGTTTGAGTTGTTGACCTGATGTGAGCGCTAGCAGGCTGTGTACCTTCCTCTTTGCTACACTGATCAAATACAAGCCGTAGTTTATTACAGACTACAGGTTTATCCTTCTGATCCTTAGCACTTGAATCACAAATGCACTGATGATCTTGCGAGCTGTCCTTGGCTACAGCACAGCTGCAGAGTCGGCGGTCCTGTTCTTCAACGGGACTCAGTTTAAGGCTTAGATCCTCTGCGATCGGACTCGTGACTGTACCTTTTGAGGTCACCTTGATGCTCTGACGATCAACTTCAATCTGCTTCCACTTCTGCAAGATGGTCGGGCTGGCCTCGTAGCTTGTGGACTTGTGCAGAGTGTGTGTCAAGTTCCTTGGGGTTGACTTCACGATCGTAGGCTCCAAAAGTCGCCCATCGGGCAACCTTTTGGGTGGAGTGCACGGCGAGCAGACAATAGGCTTGAAATGGTTGAGTTCTTCCGATATGCTATCGTTGCTCTCGGGGCTAATGGACCTCTCTGGTTTCGTTTGAAGTACGAGTGACGCGGATGAGGTGTGGATGCCCCGCCAGTGGTGTCTCTTATCTAGGCTCAGTACCGGGGCTGAGAAAGAGCGACTGTTTTCCGAGGAGAGAAGGATTCCAGCATTGTAACTATGAGTGGTGATAGCCTAGAGCGGGGAAAGAATGGTAGAGTAGCATCACGGACTATAAAAATGACTAATTTGCCTATTGCCAATCCTACCACAAAATTTGCCATTTCCTACTATAGGGGTGTCCAGTCCTGCTCCTAAAGGGTTAACATCCGGCAGAGTTGCCCCAACACACTTGCCTGGAAGTTTCCAGTGATCCTGAAGATTTTGATAAGCTGGTTCAGTTGTGTTTAACCAGGATTGGAGGTAAACTTCAGAAGCAGGATATAGGTGTTGTGGCCTAGTGGGTAATGTTTAAGGGTGATTATACACTAAAGCTCTGGCTGTGCATTTGAGAAATAGGAATGCACAAGACCCATTTGGAGGGAGTGGAAAAAATAAAGTCGGTTGTAAAATCAAGTGTGAATGTCACAGATTTCACTTCTGAAAGCACAACTCGACCTTCCTGAAATTCTCATTTTGGTGTGGTGCAGATTTGGTTGAATGACCAAGTGTCACTTTTCAAAATGAAATGTGTCAGCCAGTGTTTTTTGTGTATTTTAAACAAAGGCTGGCCTGAAGAATCATCACTGTGGACGTAAGCAAGGCGAAAGCAAACTTCTCATGTCCACAATCCATGCAGGATAGTGGCCTGTCTGTGTGACCATGCAGACAACAGCACAGATATGTGTGATTTGAATGCTTGGAAAGAAAGATTCTGTTCATGCTCATGGTCAAAGGAGGTTTGTGTGCTCAACGGTGCGTAAGATGGAATGGAACATACCTGGGCCTATAACCTCAGGTTTCTTTAGGGCAGTGTTTTTGTTGAAATAGGGGTTTCATACAAAGGAGATACTCCAGGAACAGAGTTAAAAACCACTGCTCTGGGTCAGGGTTCTTCAAATCTGACCCTGGAGGTTTTTCAAACTCCTTGGAAAACAATGATTAACCTTGATTGTTTGTTTTTTTTCATTCGTGTTTAATTAGAGTTGGAGGTAAACTCTGCAGAACAGTGGACCTCTAGTGTCGTATATGAAGAACCTGCTCTAGCAAAAAGTATGAAAACTTGCTTTGGATAAATACGTCTTCTATATAGTTTTACTTACTACAAAATTTTATATTCAGCATCTAAAGATGAGAGCCAAATACATTTTTTGAAACAGGACTGTTTTTTCCCCCAACAAATCACCCTAAATAAATTAGACTGATGATTATTTGAACATACTCCTTAAAAGCATTAACTGAAATATTATACCTTGTCAGGAACGACATGATGTGTGTGACCTCTGGTTTTTCCTCTTCCATCCTCAGAATCTGTACAGCTCCTGCTCCTCTGAACAGCACTGCTATGAAGACAACTGTAACACAGCACAATGACCGTATGGATGTGGATCTCTTTTAAACACAATCAGAAAACTATTTATTGAGAGAAGCGTCAAAATTTAAGTCACAATTTCTTTCATACCGCTATTAGTATTTTTTTTTTACTAGTTGTGGTAGTTCCTGTTTGTGGCAGTTATATCACTATAAAGGCATTTAATTTTAAAATAACGGTCTCGTTTTTTGTGAATTTTGAGTGAATATTGTTAATATTCAATATTAATTGTTATTGGGGAAGTCGTGGCCTAATGGTTAGAGAGTCGGACTCATAACCCAAAGGTTGTGGGTTCGAGTCTCGTAACGGCAGGGATTGTAGGTGGGGGGAGTGAATGTACAGCGCTCTCTCCCACCTTCAATACCACGACTGAGGTGCCCTTGAGCAAGGCACCGAACCCCCAACTGCTCCCCGGGCGCTGCAGCATAAATGGCTGCCCACTGCTCCGGATGTGTGTTCACGGTTTGTGTTCACTGCTGTGTGTGTGCACTTTGGATGGGTAAATGCAGAGCACTAATTCCGAGTATGGGTCACCATACTTGGCCACATGTCACGTCACTTAAACAAGTTAAACTTAATATGTTTAAAGGGGTCATATGATGCGATTTAAATTTTTCCTTTTTCTTTGGAGTGTTACAAGCTCTTGGCAGAGTAGCGCTTGTTTGTCGTTTCTCCGATCACAAATGCAGACATGGTTTTATGTTCATGCAGCGCGATACGCAATGCAACGCGTAAAAAAACAGTATAAGTCATTATAATCAGTAATAATGTGCCCACTGGATGCAACAAATGCCTCGTTTATAATGGGTTTTAATGTTTTTGTCTCGTCGCTCCAGCCTGACAGGGCATCATCACAATATGGTGAGGGGCGTAACATTTCCGTCACACGCTTGAGGTATTCAGCCAATCACAATGCACTGGATAGCTGGCCAATCAGTGTACATCTCGCTTTTCAGAATGATGAGTTTTGTAAAAATCTACGCGTTTCAGAAAGGCGGGGCATAGAGGAGAAACAATAATGTACAGTATGTGGAAAATAATGTGTTTTTTTAACTTTAAACCGCATAAATACATTTCATTACACCAAATACACAAAATAATGTTATTTTTAGCAGCATCATATGACCCCTTTAATAAGTGCATGGCTGCAGTCTAGACAAATGGCATCTCTGAATAACTTCTAACATATTATAATTTTGATTTGCTTGACACTCTACATAATTTCTATTCCTCTATGTGTTATAGATCTGATGACTGTTATCCTAAAATGTCATAATAAACAATTATTATTTTTTGCATAGTAGTGTATCCCATTATGTCAGGCCCTCCACTCTAGAGACACTAAAACAAAAAAAACATATAATTTGCCCACTAATAATAAGTATATTTAAAAAAAGATCAGAAAATTATCATGTCAAATTCAAAAGTAAATATAAGTGCAATACCCTCTACTGAAAGCAGGGGAGCATCTTGTTTTTCGCACAAATGCTGAGACATGTCTGGTCCTCTTTCCCACCGGCTCTTCATTCTCAGAGTCTGACACCCCACAGAACTGAAACCCAGTAAACTACTGTGTGAAATGGATGATCATACATAATTGAGCAGAAACTAAACAGTTAAAGGGATAGTTCACAGCAAAAATGAAAATTCTGCCATCATTTACTTTATCCTCATGTCGTTCTAAACCTGCATGAGTTACTTTCATATGTTGAATATAAAAGAGATTTAGAAGAATGCTGGTAATCAAACGTTGATGGTCCCCATTGACTTCCACAGTATGTCTTTCCCTACTATGGAAGTCGATGGGGACCAACAACTGTTTTGTTCTTCAAAATTCTTCAAATATCTTTTTTGTGTTCAACATAAGAAAGAAAATTGGGAGGTTTGGAATGACATGAGGGTGAGTAAATGACAAAAATTTCATTTTGGGGTAAACTATTCCTTTCATAAAAGAAATATCCCAAATTATGAAGTATGTGAATTAACTGAATGTGTGCATGTTTAAACCCTGCTTAGACCCAAGTAAGTAACAATGACAGAAAGAAGAGTTTTGAACGTACAGGATACTGACAAAGTTTCAGCATCCCACACTCTTCTTTTCTGTGGATCTTTTTCTTTCTCTCTTCGGTTTCTTCACTGCTTCCACCCTAAAGAGATAACACTGAGCTTTATATATGACTATTACTGTATTTCAGGCTATAACGAGAAAATATAATAAAACAAGCTTATTAGAAATCAGAAGTGCTTTGCATTTTACCAAATGTCAAATAAGTGCAGGCTATTCTTTACAGCCGGTACAAAAGACGTTTGTGGATGTTTCCACTTTGTTGGAATAGTTCAGGAATTTTATTAAATGTTAATATCATAGCACATATTACCAAAAACATTGTAAAACTATATGTTTATTTGGTTGTAAGTTTTTAAATAAGTTAATGTGAGGAAACTGCAATGAAGAGTGTACTGACTTTACTCAGTAGCTTACCTTCATCTTTTGTTTCTCGTAATCTTGACGCATTTCTCCAGATTTATGAATTGGTACAGGTGCACGAAAAATTTCTAAGAAATGAAAGCATAAATAGGCTATATCAGCAAAAATAGCCAACTGGCTCACTAGATGGACCAGACCACAATAAACACACTGGATGCTCTTTACAATCTCAGTTCTGTCTCTAGTACCACCCACTGGACACACACATGCCTGGACAAGTCACCACAACTGATCAAGTTTACAAACAACCAGGATACTAGAACCAGTGTTGGGGGTAACGCATTACAAGTAACGCGAGTTACGTAATCAGATATTTGGCGGCCCCCAGCGCCGCCATCTTTATTGCTGTGAGCCTGCGTCTGGGTTTGAGAACAAGCCCCGCCCAGCCATGGCGTCACATGCAGCGGTGGAACGACAGATTTACAGTATTTAAAATAACTACTTCTAATATTATTATTATCATCATCATCATCATCATCATTATTATATAATTGTTGTTGTTATTGTTTTATACAGTGGCCACAAAGTATTGGGGCATTTAAATAACTTCTAAAAAGTTATTAAATTAACATGTTTTATCATTTTAAACAAATAAATGTTATAACAAAGAACAATTAATATTCTGAATATTCTGCACTATTTCTAGGTGACCAATGAAAAGTAAACAAATTGTGACAATGAAAATGCTCGTGGGAAAACTACCATTCAAAAGTTTAGGGTCAAGTAGGATTTTTCTTTCTTTTTTTTTCAATAGTGAAATTAATTATTTTATCCAAAAACATATACATATACTTTAAAGTTATTTTAAATAACTGCTTTGAAACTATCTCTATTGTATAAAGCACTATATAAATAAATGTGAATTTAAAAAATCAAATAGTTCAAATGTTGTACTTCATGAAATGCTACAGTGGTGAACAAACTATTATTTTTTTTTTATAAATTAATCCACTTAAAAAAAGTATTTTAATAGTTGTGATAGAAATGTTTTACATTACTTTTGTAAACAAATATAAAAATAATTCCAACACATGTATTTTATTTGATACTATTATTATCATTGCATACATGACAGAGAGAAATGTTAGTGAAGAAGTTAGTTCTAGGATCGTTTGTTTGTGTCATGTATGGCATTTTATTAATAACCCCAATTTAGTAACCCCAAAACGTCTCCGGTTACTATCGTAACCTCAGTTCCATGAGAGCGGGAAAGAGACATCGCGGAGGTTTGCCTTCGAGGGCACGGAGTACCAGTACTGA